CAGATTATAGAACTTCTTAAACTCCCCCAGCTCATATTCTCTACTATTGTCTGATCTCAGATACTTCACCTTCAGATCTGTCTCGTTCTCCACCATGATTTTTCACTTCTTGAAGATCCCAAACACCTCTGACTTGTACTTTATGAAATATACCCACACCTTTCTTGAGTGATCGTCGATAAAGGTGACATAGTACGTCGAATTACCAAGAGAAAACACACTAGCTGGACCTCATACATATGTATGAATAAGCTTTAGCTTGTGAGCTTTTGGTGGTCTTCCACTCTTCTGAAAGCTGACCCTCTTCTGCTTCTCATAGATACAATATTCACAAACACTAACTTTCACTGAATCAATGTCGGATAGCTTTCCTTGTGAGTGTAGAATCTTTATACTCTTCTCACTCATGTGTCTCAACCTGTTGTCCCACAGATCTGCACTCTCCTTGCTAGCTACAACTGTGAGGGTGTCACTCACATGTGAAGTTAGGTAAAGAGTTCCAATTTTATTACCGCGGGCAACCACCATAGTACCGTTGGAGATCTTCCATGAATCTCTGGTAAATGTTGAAACATAGTCTTTCGCTCCAAGCTGGTCTACTGAAACAAGATTCATCTTCAGCTTCGATACATGTCTAACATTCTTCAAACACCACTTAGAGCCCTTCATCTGTATCTGCACATCACCTCTTTCCATAATATTGCAAGGCTCGTTATCCCCCAAGTACACTTTCCCAAAGTCCTCTGCTACATAGTTCTAAAAATCTTCCTATTAGCAGTAGCGTGGAATGAGGCTCCCGAATCAATAACCCATGAATCAGTGTCACTGTCCGTAGTAAGGATCAAGCCTTCTTGCATGATATGAGCCTCGTACTCATTCGCATCCTTCTTTAGCGCTTTGCAGACTGAAGACATATGGCCTTCCTGATCACAGTTCCAACACTTCCTTTTGATAGGCCTAACCTTCAAGTTGGGCATCTTCTTCTTTGACTTCGACCGATTCTTATTTTGGTTATCCTTCTTCTGGCTTCGGCCTCTCTGCTCGAGATTTAGGGCTGAACCTGAACCTAATTCAGATGATTTTTTTCTAACCTCCTCGGATAGAATCATACTAACAACCTCGCTCGGTTTCAACTTCTCCTTTCCAGACGAGTTAATAATTACGGTCATGCAACCTGCCGACTATTCAGCAGCTATGATAATATCAATAGGGCTTGTACTTTACCATCAAATGTGATGTCGACTGAGATGAGTTGATCAACAATCATGTTGAACTCGCTGAGATACAACGTAAAGGAATATCCTTCTACCATCTTAAGGCTGAAGAGCATCTTGACGAGATGAACCTTATTTGTGGCTGACGGTTGCTCGTACATCTTTGCGAGCGCTTCCATAAACACCACTGTCGTCTTCTCCTTTAATATATTGTGTATGACCGATTTTGCGAGTGATAATTGGATCTACCCTAGAACCTTTCGATCTAATATTTTCTAGTCCTCTTCGGTCTCCTCCTTCTTTCCCTTTGCTTTTCCTATCAACAGACGATAAATATTCTTCTGGTATATATAGTCCTTCATCTACGACTTCCAGTAGGTGAAGTCTGATCCGTCAAACTTCTTGATCTTTGATTTGCTTTCCTCTACCATCTCTCACACAAATCTTCCAAACGAAATGCTCTGATACCAGTTGTTGCGTGTTGGAAAATCAACAACTCGTGCCCTCCGGATCTTGTGTCGAAAGAATAGCAAGCAAGAAATCACAGCAAAATAAAAAACTTACAGGGAAGAATAAATAAAGAAGAGAGAACACCAGATTTAACGAGGTTTGACAAATGTACCTACATTTTGACAGGATTCGGCTGATTAGATTATAGCTAGGTCACGTAAGACTTTCTATTCGGGTCGGGCATTAGTGCATCTGCTTTCGCGTCCTCGAGAGCCACACCAGAAATTCTTTGATTATTAATGAAGATTACAATGCCTGCAAATGGCTATCTCTTTCTCTAAGACCTCTGATCTCAAAGTACTAGATTTTCTCTGAAAATCGCTGCTAAAATCGCTCTTAAAATTCAAAAACAGCAGCAGAAAAAACGCAACCGTCACATCCCTATTTATAGGGAAACCCTAAAAACAAAACAGAATGGGAATCTGTTTTCTGTGAAGTTCGCCTATTTCGCTTGAACTTAAGTTTGCCTGAACTAGAGTTCGCCTGCTTCGCCTAAACTGAAGTTCGCCTACTTCGCCTGAAATGAAGTTCGTCTGCTTCGCCTGAACTTAAGTTCGCCTAAACTGAAGTTCGTCTGCTTTGCCTGAAATGAAGTTCGTGTGAACTGAAGTTCGCCTGCTTCGCCTAAAATGAAGTTCGCCTGAACTGAAGTTCGCCTAAACTAAATTTTGTCTGCTTCACTTGATTTCCAGACTTAGAAAAAATCATGTTGTGCATGCTTGTTCCAAAGTTTGGGTCTACACTCCTAAAACCAACAAAATTACCAACGTGTCCATGTAAACAATCTATAAATAATTGTGATTTCTACCAAACCAATACACACAATTTTTCATACAAAAAGTTAATGAGACTATACTCTACTTTTCTCTTCAGATTAACTAGAAACAGTCATTGACTTGAGTGTCAGACGACACGCCGGAGGAAAAAACTTCTAGTGCCTTTAACCTTTGTTATTTTTTAGCAAAGTGTAGATCAAGATGCTCAACTAAAGGTTAACCATTAAAGGTGATTAAGGAACCCATAAATTAAGTTTAACTCCCCCAGATCACACTTCAACTTTCTGACATAAACGCTGTTATAAAAAAAATATTTACAAAAATAATTAGAGATATATTGAGAATTTTATGGAGAACTCTTTTTCTAGCACTACTCTGTTGGTGTATATGGAGAATGAGAAACAATCGCATTTTTAATGAGGTGATTCCCTGAGCAAGTGACCTCTAACATTGCTCACTTCATTACTTTTTGGGCGAGCACCTCCAGTTCAAAGAAGGGTGCAAAGCTGCTTAATTATAAGGGAGAAAAAGATAGATCGTCTCATCAAGGATAACGAAGAGAGTGAAGGAAGCAACTTCTGATCGTCCCTCCTTTGGGTTCTTTTTGCTCCTCTTAGTTGTTGTTTTTTTCGCCTTTGTCTCCTTGTTTATATTTGTTTTGGTGATGTCCTTATATGCAAACTGTATGTTCAAGTTTGCGAACAAACAGCTTCTGTAATTATTTTGTTACTTTGGTGATCACTATATGATTTTTCTAGGGGTGGCAGTTTTTGACCCGACCCATCAACCCGACCCGACCCGACCCGTTTATATTGGGTATGGGTCGAGTTATATGGGTCGGGTCATAAACGGGTCAACCTGAACTGACCCATTTATTAGATGGGTAAGTTAGGGTTGACCCGCCTAACCCGTATAACACAGAGAGCTGACCCGTGTAAGTGTATAACACCTCGCGAATCCACGAGCTCCTCGCTATCGGTGGAATTTTTCTCGTTCCCAAAGTTTCTCCTCTCGCGAGCTCTGTGGATCCGGCGGCGACCCCTTCAATTCCTCGTCCAGCATCTCAAATTGAAACCCTAATCAATCGATTTATCTCCGCAAGACCTCCGATCCGATCTCAATCTCGTAATCTCATAAAAAAAAGGCTTTAAATCCATCTTAGATCCATCCATCTAATCCTGATCGCAAACCCTAATGGCGAAGCATCGGAATGAAGATAGTTTGGATGAGGGTTCTCTGCACGCCGACGATTTGAAGCAGCAGTGTAGATCTAGGGTTTGGATGAGGGATGCGATGAGGTACCCTGTTCAATGGAACTATAATCTGGATCTGTACTCATTTGCTTGGGCTCAGGCGGTGCAGAACAAGCCGTTAGGGTTAGATGTGAGGCCTGAGGAGGATGAAATTGAGTACAAAATCGATGATGGTGATGATGAAATTGTTGGAGAGAATATGGGTGGGGTTGAGGGCGAGGTTGAGAAGGAGGAGGGTGAGATAGAGGAAGGAGAGGTTGAATTGGGATATGAATCAGTGAATCTCGAACCAGGGGATCTTGAATCAGTAAGTTCTCTCTTTCTCTCTCTCTCTCTAAGCTTCATCAAAATTAGGTTTCTTTCATTTTGATCAAGTTTCTTTAAATTAATTTGATTCAAGCTCAAATGTTCCGTTTCCAGAGTTGATCATTGGCTTCCATATAAATTAATTTGATCATAGATAATCTATTCCTCTTTCTAAGGTTTCATTCATGCTCATTTATTGCCCAATTTGTGATCTCTTAGTTTTTATTCATTTTTTGATATGTTGTTTCTTAATTGTCCAACATTATGATTCAAAAGCTCCATTCATTTTGTAGTTATGTTCAAGCAAATGATTAGACCTTTTTACATTCTTTGTACAAGCTAGAAATTTAATACATAAAATTCAGAATGCATGAATATTCTTATATTTGAATTACAGTAAATAATTTTGGATCATCATATATGAATATTGACAGTGTATGAGCATATATACCTGTAATCTCTTACGTCAAACCTTATATCATGTTAATGTGTTATCAAACTCTTTGAATAATCTATTTGATAAGCTGACCTGAATCATTATATTATATAAAAAGAAACAGTTGGAGGCCAAATCCAACTGTTTCCTCAAAAATTTAATTAGTTTCCTCAAAAATAATGTTAAATTGAATTTGACTCTTTCTGAATTTAGGGATAAGATGTGAAATTTCACTTTGAGTGTGTAATCTACAAATATACCTTGTAATATTCAGATGATTTTGATTTCCAATTGAAAATCAATAATTAAATGCATGTGAGTTGCATATTAGTGTGAGGCCAAATCCAACCCCTTGAAGGTGTAATTCCTTTTATTTTTCCGTTAGGGTGTAATTCTCTAAACTTCTCATTCTTTTTTCTTTTCCTCAAACTGCCACTGCTCTTTCAGGTGATAAGAAGAGAGCTATCTTTGAATTGATTCCCAGAAGTACATATAAGTAGATTCCCAATCATCCTTTACCCTTCAAAGATTTTGAAACTTGTGGAGGTTAGTGTTGGTTATCTCCACTGTGAACCGTTTTGATCCCAAAGATATATTTCCATTACCTCATATATGGCTCCTTTTATATGTTCAAATTTTCAGGCTTATGTTGAGAAATATGCAAATCCTAGGCCTTTGCGTGACTGAAGCTTCTTAGTAGGAATACGTTGGAGCAAACCCAGAAGTACATATAGTGCAGACATTAATGCCAGTTTCTCTCATAGGATGCTTCTGTCCAGCCTGTAGATTTTGAAGACTGTAGGCTATTTAACATTTTTCATCGAAGTAGCAAGGTAAGGAATAGTTTTAGAGAACTGTGACTTGTTTTTTAAGTTTGAAATATAGAAACTGGAGGTACCTTGGAGACAGGGACTATATGTTGTAGATTTCCCTTTCAAATTTTGCTGTGCCTTAGAGCTTTTTGACATCTCTCATGCAGTAATTCATATTACCCAGCAAAAAGTTTCGAGGTTCTTTTAAAAGAATGTTAATGTTCATATCGTGTAAATAGTGATTCTTCCTCTGGGTTTTTTCATGCTTGGAGTCTGATTCTATAATCATCCATATTCATGAACATAGCATACATTGTTTTTATTGCTGATTTTATTTATTTTTATATGTGATTATAAGCTCCAACTGTGGCGGGACAATGGGCAAATTTACCGATATGTATTGACTTTCTGTAACATTGTTTCAATATTTCTCTGCAGAACTGTATGCTAATTCCATTCACAGTTTATAACTTTCATCATCCTTTATTATAAAATTACTGTGGAAAAAGTTCACGTCCATCTTCAAGAACTTGATGAGAGTATTACAGCACAGAAGCAAGTCAATGAGGCTCTAGGTATCATGTTTTTTTACCTCTACGATGTGTTACTGTCAGCAATACTTTCAGGCAAATCTCTCCAATAATGTCCTTGCTTGTTATGAACATAGCAAGAATTTACCTTTCCATAACATATCAAGCAAGAGTTTACGAAGCATTTCTGCAACGTTTGCACTTTCCCTTCTTCAAAATTCTCTCCTCAATCTTTGCAGGCAACTGAGGATCCGGCCGCACTCCACTAAACTGGGAATCACACTCCGCCATTGCCCTCGCTGCCGCCAAGGGCATCGCATTCACTCTGAGAATGAATTTTTTGACTCAAATTTGGAGATGGGTCAGTTAAATATTTTGTAAACTGTAATTGCATTTTTTGTAAATTTGGAGATGGGACAGTTAATTTTTTTTAAACTGTAATTGCATTTTTTGTAAATTTGGAGATGGACTATGATAATGGCGATCAAGTTCCTAACTATTTTGTTGTAAACTTGTGTATATTCTCTTTATTTACTTGTGTTAAATTCTTTGTTGCTAGTTCTTAGTTTAGATTATTCTGTGTCTAAAGAGCTACATTGATGTATTTTTGTTTGTTGATATGTGCAATTCGTTAAAGTACATTTAGATTTAAACACTGAATATGTCTTTGAAATAACTCCATGTTGTAAGTAGTGATAGTTTTTGTCTAAAGAGCTTGCAAGAAGTGTTCTTTTGTGTATTATAAAAATTTTTACTAGTTATGTGTTAGGATATGTCTTGTTTTTGATAAACGGATCAATTGGGTTATATGGGTCGGGTCGGGTAACCCGTTTAATAATCTCACGAATATGCTTTGCCATCCATACAATTTGAGAACGAAGAGGCATCGCAATGAAGAATCTAGCTGAATTCTCAACCTTATAAAGAGTCTCGAAAGCATTTGGATGATTTTTCAGTCCAATGGATGAGATGCGCATTTTGAATTGAATAAGCTATTTCACCAACCTTGTCAACTAACTTGTCAAAGATCATTATTATTTTGGGATGTTTTCCGCTTTGAACTAAGAGAATATGTTGCGTTCTCACTAGAAATTGTAGTTCGGATGGGTTTTTTTTTTTCAGTTTTGCCTCTAACCTCGAACCATCATTATTGATCTGAGTACGTAGCTTCTGGGGATTCACTATTGAGCTCAATTGGTTCGCTTGATTGCCCACCAAAATTTTCATAGACGTCTTTTCTGAAATCACCTGAAGAAAAATCATTCCCGACTATCAGCGCAAGATCATCAAAATTACGCAAAGCTTCGTTGACATATTCCTCCAACTTAGGAGTGAAGGAATCATATGTTGTTAGATACATCAACGAAGGATTCGGATCCTCTCCACTAAAAAAAATAGTGGAGGGACCACTACATAATCACAGCCATTGATTATCTAGTTGATGGTTATGATTTTTTCTTTTAGTGCAAATTAGGAATGAGTGCAATACACGGAGGTATGGTAAGTGTTAGATTTAGATTGTATCATAACCGCCTACTAAATAATCAATGCTTGAGATTAAAAGTAGTGGTCTCTCCACTACTTTTTTGTAGTGGAGAGGATCCAAAATAGCATCGTAGTGCTTAGAATGTAGTGCTTTAACGATAGCAACGTGGGTCCTATTCATTATAATCATCGTAAGCGCCCAATTTTCCAATTTAAAAGCTTGGTCAACGATTCTTGACCTGATATATGTTGAGTTTACTGTCTTCGCTCAGTTAAAAGACAAGAGACAAAAGGGAAGTGTGCTTTTTGTTAATTTGCTTTTGCTTTTATCTTTTTACCATCTCTCTACTAGGAGCAACCACTTGAGTCGTACGCCTCTTGTGCAAATGTCATAAATGGAGTCTTTTTTTATCTGAAAAACTTGATAATCTTCTTAATTTTTTTAATCTCATCGAATTTGTTGGTTTAATTTATTAAGATTAGATAAAGAATAATTACCACTAAAGCTTCAAGAGTTTGGTGTCTTTTTTGGCTTTTCA